TCTAGAAAGATCCTATGATCACCAACTTCGTCCATGGACCAAACCTATGCGAAACCGATTGAGCTCAATAGTAGCCTAATCCTAACTGCCCAGGTTACCTTGCCAGCAGCATTTGGTTTTAGATTGGTTTTATACTGAGCGCCATGGAAAACGCATCACTTAGTTTTTCGTATAACAAAATGATCCTGTAAACATATCTTATTTATTTTGCTTCTTATTGTGAACAATATTCAAATGGGAACACATCAATAACAACACATTTGTACACTTATGGATGTTTAATCTGTAATCAACGGTACAAAGTCAGAGGGGTCAAAACCAAAAGTACGACACAGATGTCAATAGCGCGTGTGTCCTCCACGGGCTCTTACGCACGCTGTGCAGCGACGTCGCATGGAATTTACCAATGTTCGAAAGAAGGCCTGGGGCAAATTGTTCCATTCTTGGACAAGAGCAGCTTCTAAAGCAGCAATGGTGTGCATCTGTGGTCTACGATACAGACGGCGCCCAATCTCATCCCAAACATGTTCTATCGGTGCCATGTCCGGAGACATGGCTAGACAGTCCAAGACATTGATGTTGTTAGCAGCCAGTTAATCCATACCAAAACGGGCGGTATGTGGACGTGCATTATTCTGTTGGAAGTGCTGAAGTTGTGGGTGCGCTCGAAACATCGGAACAATAATTGGTTGCAAGACATCATCACGGTAGGCTACAGCATTAACGCGACCCCTGCAAATGTGTAGGGCGGTCCGGTGATGAAATGTGAAGCCTCCCCACACCATTACACTTCACCCACCCCATCGATTCGTTTCGAAGACGCAGCAGTCTGCAAGACGTTCCCCAAGACGTCTCCACACACGTTGACGGCCATCAGCGTGATAACGATGAAAGCGACTCTCATCACTGAAGAGCACACTTTGCCAGTCTACTCTTCTCCATGTCTGGTGTCCTTGAGCCCATATCAAACGCCGCTGACGGTGATGATCCCTGAGGATAGCTCCAACATAAGGTCGTCGTGCACGGAGTCCTACTTCTCTTAGACGACGTCTTACGGTGTTGGCACTTACTGGTCCTTGTCTTCCGACGACTGCTGCACCTGTTCGAGTCGCTGGGCGGAATCTGTCACGCAGATGAGTGACCCGGATGTAGCGGTCTTGAGCCTGGGTTGTAACGCGTTGTGGACCAGGACGTTGACGGTCACGTGTTGATCCAGTAACTCGAACACGTTCCACCAACCTTACAATAGTGGACTGATGACAATTGAAGTGTCTGGCAATAGCACGTGTAGACAGGCCAGCCCTGGACATTCCCATGGCTTCATTCCGTTGATTTTCAGTAAGTCTCGGCATCTCTAGCTCGATTCCTTCACACGTCCAACAACAAATTGCGACAGATTGACGTTTCACAGTTCATGTACTGCACATTAAGTTGAAAACATGCTTTTAAAGGGCTCACACACAATGCTGCACGTGAATATTGGGTTTTTCATGTGCATCTCGTGCAATTTTTTTTTTTTTTGCACACGGGCCGATATTTTTTGCGTTTGGGAGCATTGTGTGAAACAATAGTTCATAGTATTGCATAATATTATACATACAAAACCACCTAGTAATGAAATGTTTGGGAAAAAAAGTGATGCGTTTTCCATGGCGCTCAGTATATACAATACAATAATTTTCACTGTTCCGAATTCTGGTTGACCATTCCTGTATGTTAATTTCAATTAATCTTTGTTTCAAAATTTCTAGAAAAATCCTAGCTGCCCGGGTTACCCTACCAGCAGCGTCGAGCTTCCTTACCGTAATAATATACCTGCTTGGGATATCTTTGATTTGACATTACAGTATGCTTAAGGAAGTATTTTAAGTAAACTAACATATGGTAGACTGAAATGAAATAGTTACTGAACAGTTTTACTTTTTGTTAATGTGTTCTACATTTTTGAGGCGATATGTCTGATGATGTACAAGCCGCCATGACACCACCCAGGTGAAATCTCGCCAAATACCGCGTCGCATTAACCCCTCCCATCGCTTCCCTTATAAGGAACTGTTACTACTCTAGAATACTACGAGAGAATATCGGAACTCACTGTAATCTCAGTGACAGATCAATCGAAACTAAAATTAGACTTTGTCCAAAATGGATGAATGCTGCAACTGTAGCAAATCATTCACAAATAGCATTATGGAAGTGACGTATGATCACGTGAGACGGAGTACGCATGCGTTCTTGTGGACTGGTGGACATTTTAAGTTTGATAGGAGAGACATTTCGCGTACCAGTTGGGTTTATTAAATCATATATGCTGGAGGGCTTCACCTTTATTTCAATGAGAATTGGTTGATTAAAAAGGTGTTTGAAGTATATCTGGATAAGATTATTTCCTATTTATTGTAAATGGATACGTGAAATAGTTAAAGGCTCTAATTCTGCTCCGATCAGCATGTGTAATTACGTCCGATCTAAACAATGCACGAGTTATGTGACGTCATGCGTAGACCGATACTACATGTAACCTTAAAGGTCAGACAATACGACATTTTCACCCGACACCAAGACATTAAAAATGTCGTAATGTCGCGTGAAAATGGACCGTGGCATTTCTTCATCGAATTTCAGCTGAGAAGGATTTTTTATGTACACCCTCTTGTCAGTGAAGCACGGCGGAGGGCCTAACAAGGACAGTTGTCTAGTCGTTCGGGTGGGTCGAAAAACGAGGTCCCGTGTACACATTGGCGTGCACATAATAGACCCCTTGACAGTTGGAATTCGATATAAGAGTAGGCCGTAGTGCTTCGAAGGAATTATTAGTTAGCAGAAATTCGCCCAGTGGATCTGTTATCACTCGTAACTAAAGTCAGTTATATAGAAGGATAACTCGTGTTTTCCTTTTGCGTTCGTCACTTCCGTTTGCTGGAATTTTGATTACGCATCTATCGTAGCAATGATCACTGTGTTAAAATTATATTTGGAACGTGTTAAACCAGTTCTATCACATATGTGATAATGCCTGACACCAATATTGTCCTTTAAAATAGATTATCACCTACTAAAGGATAAAACATTTCTATATTATCCATTATTATGTATCCTATATTTATGTTACGGTGTATGTATATTCATGTATCTAAATCAGAGAGAGAGAGGGTGGTTACACACTGGGATCGACTGTTCCGCAAACCAAATTAAGGTATTAAAATTTACTGAATAAAAATATTGTTTATGTTTGTAGACGTTGTCATCTTAAAGTTATGTAAATGCATATCATCATAGATAATAAGTAAAATTTCTTAACTTAAACCATTTTGAATTTTGCTTGACCGTTTTGACTAAATTGTTTGGCCGTTATGACTAAAAGATTTGGCCGTTATGACTAAAACTTTAGGCCGTTATGGTTCAAGGCATAGAAATATATACCATATGGAAGCAGGTCGTTTCATCCCACTACCAGTTCATCACGGGCTGTTTCATCCCAAATTTACACGGGTCCTTTCACCCCACAAATTTAAAAACCGTTATTACATGAATTTTTAATATTTTATTTATACATTAATACCAATAACAATATGTCAATGCAATTTTATCATGAATAATGTCCAACTCCTTCTTTTGCATACACCTTAGCTTATTTTCCGAATATTTTACTTATATAATGTCAATGCAATTTTAACATGAATAGTGTCCAACTTCTTCCTTTGCATATGTTTTAGTTTATTTTCCGAATCCACACCACTTCTCGACATCAATTTCACTAAAATTACATCGCTTACAAGCGATGCTCATAGCAAAACACTCAACTTGTAATACACTGTATAGTCATTTTCATGCATAACAGGATTGCCAGTGATAGAACAGTCTATCAAAGAATAAAATTGCACGTAGTCACTATTTCGACACCTGTTATCTTTAGATGTTCAGACTACTTGGCACCTCAAATAACCCATCGTTAAAAGAAAGCATGCAGTGTCCACCTTACAACGGGTTCCATTGGTTTACTATTTATTTTATAATTTAGCACACAGTTTAGACCACAATGTGTTACAATTCGCATTTTGGTATTCTAAATGAATTCTTGTTCGGAATTCTTATATTTGGAGTTGTTTAGTTTCATTTCGTGTACGGAAATTAAATCAAGGATCATTTTTAAAATTAATTATGGTTTCGAAATAATATCAATCTAATTTGTCTTTTAAAAGGGGCTCCTGCGCAATTTAGTTGATTATTTGGTAATACGTAGAGTCCATGATGTATTTTGGCGAGTGATTAAGCTATCAATATGTAATTATAAAATATCTTTTTATAAAGAAGATAAATGATGTTAGACATCATAAACTAACAAACAATACCGTATACTTTATTACAAAAATATCGGTGAACTAATCTAAAATCATAACGGCAATCAACAAAAATCGACGAGTAAAACTTATTTATTCCATACATTATTGTTTATTTAACAATAAGTAAGTGTTTAACAGTTTATTTAACGATAAGTACAACTCAGTTAATTGACTGCTATTATAATAACAAGGGGGGTGAAACAGCCCGGGATGAAACAGCCCGATAAAAAATTAGGTTGGGATGAAACAGCCCGGGGTGAAATGGTTGTGGGATGAACTGAGCCGCATCCCAACTATATTTACTGTATACTTCTATGTTCAAGGAAGTAGTAGTAGTAGTAGTATGTTCAAGGCCGTTAATGCATAAACCCTCGGATTATACATGATACTGGTGGTGGCTTCGGACATGCTAGAGTCCCATTACATCCTGCATGAAACCCGTCCTTCACTTATGAATCGACAATTTTAATTTTGACGCAATCAATAGGTCTAGCCATTTTAATGTATGCGTTATTTCCCTTTATTTATTTAATAAATAATACAATTACTAAAATTATGAATTATTCGTGTTTGATAGTCCACGTTATAAAATTTGATAAACCTGTCGCAAACAGGAAACACGAATATCCGAAAATCTTCACTTCCGGATGCGCATCAATATGAAAACAAAGACGCAAACTGTAACAAATTGACAAATTGTTAAAAATGAGTCTGCTGCGATCCTAGAATAAAAAAATAAAAGGAAGCTTTACCCTTTATCCAACCTGTCTTATTTTTCTGCACCATCACCGATTAACAACACTGGTCAAGCTAAACAATACAAAGAAGAATGGTGAGTGTAGATCAGTCCACAGCGTTCTCATTATTTATCATTATCACATGTTACCGGTCATTTATAAGCACCGTTGTTATTAAAATGCTGTATCATGCCGTAGATCAATTTAAGCTGCCTTTGTTTAAATAGGCCACGTGTCAAATGAAGATGACTCAAGAAATTAGCGCATTTACCGGTAATTTGGATAATCCCGTAATACTTGATATCCCAAACTTAAGTACAGAAATACAAATGGTGCCAGTCATTTGTCGATATATTCATTATTAGCTATATATAATAATAATAACCATTTCTATACATAAAGAACAGCTACAGTGAATATGGAATTTTCCGATGACTAGGCATAACTTGTACAATAGATCGCACTCATTTCTCTTCCAATCAACGCTTGGTATCTTATTATCATGTACCGTTCCATGTACTACGGGTGTAGTAAATGAGGTTAAACTTCGCCGCGAAAATTACAAGGGATCATTCGTGGAGTTCCTGGTGCCGTTTGGTGAGTGATTAAACTGTCAATGCAATTGTAAAATACTTTTATTATAAAGATAACCGATGTTAGACATTATAACCCAATCGTGTCAAAAACGTTAATCCATCCATCAATTAAATGTTGTTTAAACGCCAATCAATAAATAATACGAGGCTACTTGATTACAAAAACACCGGTGAGCAATAATTATTAGGTATATAGTAATTTTAAACAACTTATTAGTAAAACTTAATTATTTTATACAATTGATGTGTGTGTGTATGATTCTACCATTAGTTCGTTCGTGAGGTATTACCCTCACGTTCCACTTAGAGTGATGTCTTTGATTTGGCCGGCGTAAAAAAAAAGATAATTACCTAATCAACATTCTTAATCCCACTAACACTCACTGCTAACACCAACGTGTAAATTAATTCATGACGCTGTTGTTGTTTGTTAGTTGTATTTTACGTCCGCGTCCACCGAGGTGATATTGCATGCCTGTATAACTTTTATAGTCGGATTGATTAATTAAACTAACCAGATTGGTGTGAACTTGCCGTAAAGTGGATATAGTAACCATTGGCTACACGTATCTCAAAGTTTCCAGGCCCATCTTATGTGCACTTTAAGAATTGATCATCAACTGTTTATTTTACAGATCTTTTACTTTTCTTTTAGACTCGAATGTTAAGACATAATGATGGCGTTTATATATATCAAAGGAAACGATTGACACTGCAGTGTATAGCCTTATATATTGCAGGATGAGGAAGCAAATGATGTTATAATGTATATTACAGGAACCTAATCTTATAACTTTTATATATTACAGGAAACTAATCATGTTATAACTTTTATATATTACAGGAAACTAATGATGTAAAAACTTTTCACCAGTGTGTTATGTGCAATGAGATTTTTCAAGAATATGATTGTTTAGTAAAACACAACAAAATACATATTAAAGAAGAGAAGACAGATGACATAACTGATAAATGTCCAGTACACTCTGCAGGAAAGAAAACCGAGGATGTTGAGACTGTTCATCAATGTAGATTGTGCAATCGGGAATTTAAATCGGACACAGATTTACAGGAACATTGTCAAATACATGTTAAAGAAGAGAAAGTAATAGAAAATATTTCACAACAAATTACAGAAAAGAGTTTTCCTGAATACCATCAACAAAAGATTTCAGAACAGATATATTTTAGTTGTGATATTTGTAGCAAATCATTTAATAAGCGCTCCTATTTATACAATCATGTGGGAATCCATACAGGAAAGAAACCTTTTAAATGTGATGTTTGTAATAAGTCATTTCATAAACGACAACATCTACAGTCACACACAAGAACTCATACTGGAGAAACACCTTTTAAATGTGATGTTTGTAATGAATCATTTCGTCATTTCATTAGTCTCCAAAGGCACAAGAAAACACATACCGAAGAAAAACCCTTCAAATGTGATGTTTGTGGCAAATCATTTAATCAATCTGTTCTTCACGAGAGGCATATGAGAAGTCATTCTGGTGAAAGACCATTTAGATGTGATATTTGTGGTAAATATTTTAACAAAAATAGTCATCTACAGACACACATTAGAATTCATACTGGTGAGAAACCATTTAAATGTGATGTTTGTGATCAATTATTCAGTGAAAAGAGTAATCTACAGAATCACATGAGAAGTCATACAGGAGACAGACCCTTCAAATGTGATATTTGTAATAATTCATTTAAGCGTAACGGTCATCTACAGAGACATGTGATAACTCATACCAGAGATAGAAATTTTAGATGTTTTGTCTGTGATGAGTCTTTTACCGACCGGATTTATCTGAACAAGCACATGGCCATAGGAATTCATAGTCAATTAAAACCTACATGAATGTTTGAAGTCAATCGTTGATTTTATTGTATTTGAATTGCAATGTTTACATGTATATTTATAATATACGAATCATACGCTGTGTGTCTACAACTAGCTTCACTTGAAAACAGACACTAAACTAGTTGACTGACATATTAATTCATACATCAAGGATTTTAGTTAAAAACACTAAAACTACTTCGAGAATTTCGAGATGTATTTATTCTGCTTCTATTTTCATATTATATCTAATGATATTGAAAATTGTTTATTAGTCTTTGTGTGTTTGAAAGATGTAAACTGGATTATAATTGAATGACAGACCTGTAGCCCTACACCAATGGCAGCCATTCATGGTGCAGAGATCTGTTCTCAAAGTAGATTGTTCTACATGTAAGTTTTCTGTGTGAAGAATGGAACTGCCCTAGTCTTTAGTGACAATATAAACATTTCAACTGGTGATTAGAAGTAGGACCAACATCTAGGCAAATAATTAGGCAAATGACTTTTCTAAGAATTAATTAGGTTCATTTCACATGCCATGGGAATTAATAGTCGAGTAGAGAGAGATTGATTTAACGTCCACTGGACACAAACTAGGTCATTTTGGGATTAACACATGGTTCAATTTTTTAGTTCAATAATTCGATTGTCTGTAGGGGTCTTTAGTAGTGCGAGGAAACCGAAGGACCCCGAGAAAACCCACGAGGTTGGACAGGCCACACTACTCCTTGTCAAATACAACCGATTAATCAAAACCACACCAGTTGCTTCAATGACAGACCTTATGATATAGCGTGCACATGCTAACCATCCCCCCCCCCTTCTCCCACCCGTAATAGTCAGGTAAAGCCTACATAAATGTTGTGTTTGTAGTAAATCAATGACCACCCAACTCTATTTTGTGCTTGATAACAATTAGAGGATATTTATTGAAACATTGTGCCTGTGTATAATAAACCAGTGATTGTTGTCCTATACAATGTACATGCATAACTGTGTTATTTTTTTTAAAGCCCTACCTGGTCACCGGTTTTCATTAGCGGAACAGTAGGACGTTAAACTCCATTTCATTCATTCCCTATCTGGTCGACAATGGAAATATACATTAGATATAAGGGTAGGACATAGCGCCGCTGTCCGGGAAAAATTTCCCTCATGTCATAGCACATTGTATGGCGTATGCCCGTCTGGAACAGAACAGTAGGACATTAAACCCCATTTCATTTCCATTTTTAATCAAATATTTTTATTTACTTCTGGGATGTTTTGATAACAGAGGTGGATGTGGTGTTCTAGACAGGATGAGCTTACTTTTTTAAAACCTGATTCCACTATCCAACATGAATAAATTGTCTGGATAGTCCATTTGTCATCTCTCAACTTTACAAACTTTATCGACTGGATTTTTCACTTTCCCAGTTTGTGCTACTCTTTTATTAGAAATATGTTCTAATCAATAAGCACTCAGGAAGGTTAAACATACATTATGCAAGAGCTAAATCTGCCTATTGCAGGTCTTTCTTTAGGCCTGAAATGTTATCTAAATTATTGATTAGACGGACCATAATCACTCTCAATATCAACGTTAGCTTGCGATATTTATTGGCAAAGAAAAAATAGATATCTACCTGTGGACAGCTGAAACCAATGTAAACCAGGCAAAACGCTACTGTCCAAGCAAAATTTCCCTCATAGCACACTGCATGGTGTTTACAAGTACGATTTCATTTCATCTAACGTGTGCTCTGTTTTTATATTTTACAGGACAGTTTTGATTAATTAAAGCTAGAAATTCATATTTTCAAAGAAAGTCAAAACATAATTATTTCTATGTCTTTTGCTCAATAGGTTGTCAACTCACTATTATAGATCATAGTTATCATTCTCACACTCAAACATGTTTACCACTGGAAATAATAACACAATTACCTCCTAATTACCTCCCTTGTTTTTCTATCTTCAAACGTTTGAATTTGAAGTTGAAAATGATATTTTTGCCAATTTCTCAACTGGCAATACTGAATTATAGGATTAATGGGATTATTCTTTATCAAGGTAAGACTGTTTATACATAGCATCGATTTTAAGGCTTTATTTTAATACATTTTAAAAATATAACTTAAAAATATGAAATTGTAGCTTTAATTTAATGTTACATTCCCACGAAAGTATTTATTGGGTTGTTATTTTCAATTATAGTATGGTAATTTTGGTGTATATATGGAAAGTAGACACTGTATCTTACTAGAAAGTACCAGGGGCCTGTTTCACGAAATTTTAACTAAGATAAAATCCAAATTTTAGTAATTTGATTGGTTGATATAAGATTGATTTTAGTGCTTAGCCAATCAAAGTTGAAGTATCTACTAAAATCTGGATTTTATCTTTAGTTAAAATTTCGTGAAACAGGGCCCAGGCAACAAAACATATTCCCACAGCCGTTAAATCGTCCGGGCAGTCGACAAGGGTTGTCACATATTTATTCTTTTGTAGGTAATGGGGGCATTTATAAGACACTGATATCAATTTCATAAAGATCAGGTGTTCACAAGATCGGATGATAACTTTTGTCGATAGAGTGTTCATAAGGTTCAACAAAGGGAAGCTCATAACTCTAGCAGTAATGAACAGAAATTGTTAAGATTAAAAATTCTTTGATTTATTGATCTAAATAATGCGTATAAATTTCATACAGATTCGATGATAACTTTTGTCGATAGGGTGTTCACAAGTTTCAACAAAGTATTTTGGGTACATGCTATGATTACAGTTTTTAATCACACCTGAAAAAAACTGTCCAGGCAAAACGTCTCTCATAACATACTGTATGGGCTATGCCCATCTTCATTATTCCAGTCGGAGCAAAACAGTAGGACGTTAAACCCTATTTTATTTTCCATTTCCATACCAGGATGCAACCAAAAAAGTTAATAAAACCATTCATGAATTAATAGAGTTGGCTGGATCCACGTCTTAAATACATTTACAACCATCACCGGAAATGACCTTCCGTAAAGAAGAAAGAACATAATTATAATTCCTCGCCTGTTGACGGCTGTTTGCTAATTAAAATACTTATTAATATTGAACAAATTAAAACTTTCTTTGATTGGTTTGATTTAAAACCAGGTCAAAATTGTTACGATTCCTAGTTTGTTTTGACACACGGAATAAAGGGGAAAATGGTGAGGTTCAGTTTCCACATGAAGAATAAAAATAATAATAATAATAATCATATTTTCATAATCTGTTTTTGATGTGACCTTGTTATATAGATAAGATTTTATTGTATCTAATCACCCTGTGAGAGGCAGCATACAAATACAAATAAGATAAGATATTTCTTGCCTCAAGTTCAAGATACGGTATCCATTAAGGACAGAATATGCCTAGGCAACTACTTAAAAATAGTGTTGAATTATTATAATTTTGTATCAGATATGGCGAGAAATGATTCCCTTTGAATATAAGGATGCCATGTTTTCTTAGCAAGATAACAACATCAATTAAGATGTTTAACACATATAGTGTGAATGATGATACCGTACAAAAATACAATAAACAAGCTTAATTTGGGGCTTATTTTAACATATATGATACCATTAAAAACATCATTCATGAATCATTTCTCGCAACACTTGATATCATGATACAAATTTATAATAATTCAACACTATTTTCAAGTAGAATTTTGTGATAATTCTAATGGTATCATTCGGGTGGAGAAGTCAGCGAGAAGTCACATGATGTTAACAAAGCTCTGTAACGGCATTTGCAAACTTCGTGGAATGAGCACTCAGGAGTTTATAACATTATTTGTTCATCATATCGTAAATAACATAAAAGGGAAGACATTTTTCCAGTATTTATGTTAAATATCATCCAGAAAATTCAGGACAGGGATAGGTGCTGCCTCTCCAACCTCGTGGTTTGTTTCTCTCCTGATTGTTCGGTTCCCTCCCAAAGCTAATGACCTGTATGCTCAAGCAAATTAATGAAATAAAATTGAACCATAAGTTAGTCCCAAAATGATCTAAATTGTGTCAAACGTTAAACTCTCTCTCTCTCTCTTACTAACCATTTTAACCGACTAGTAAACATTGTGCATATGAAATTGACAACATTTATATGCTGAGCGCCATGGAAAACGCATCACTTAGTTTTTCGTATAACAAAATGATCCCGTAAACATATCTTATTTATTTTGCTTCTTATTGTGAACAATATTCAAATGGGAACACATCAATAACAACACATTTGTACACTTATGGATATGTAAAATCTGTAATGAACGGTACAAAGTCAGAGGGATCAAAACCAAAAGAATGACACAGATGTCAGTAGCGTGTGTGTCCTCCACAGGCTCTTACGCACGCTGTGCAGTGACGACGCATGGAATTTACCAATGTTTGAAAGAAGGCCTGGGGCAAATTGTTCCATTCTTGGACAAGAGCAGCTTCTAAAGCAGTAATGGTGTGCATCTGTGGTCTCCGATACAGACGGCGTCCAATCTCATCCCAGACATGTTCTATCGGCTAGTCCAAGACATTGATGTTGTTAGCTGCCAGGTAGTCCATACTAAAACGGGCGGTATGCAGACGTGCATTATCCTGTTGGAAGTTCTGAAGTTGTGGATGCGCTTGAAACATCGGAACAACAATTGGTTGCAAGACATCGTCACGGTAGGCTACAGCATTAACGCGACCCCTGCAAATGTGTAGGGCGGTCCAGTGATGAAATGTGAAGCGTCCCCACACCATTACACTTCCCCCACCCCATTGATTCGTTTCGAAGACGCAGCAGTCTGCAAGACGTTCCCCAAGACGTCTCCACACAAGTTGACGGCCATCAGCGTGATAAAGATGAAAGCGACTCTCATCACAGAAGAGCACACTTTGCCAGTCTACTCTTCTCCATGTCTGGTGTCCTTGAGCCCACATCAAACACCGCTGACGGTGATGATCCCTAAGGATAGCTCCAACATAAGGTCGTCGTGCACGGAGTCCTACTTCTCTTAGACGACGTCTTACGGTGTTGGCACTTACTGGTCCTTATCTTCCAACGACTGCTGCACCTGTTCGAGTCGCTGGGCGGAATCTGTCACGCAGATGAATGACCCGGATGTAGCGGTCTTGAGCCTGGGGTGTAACGCGTTGTGGACCAGGACGTTGACGGTCACATGTTGATCCAGTAACTCGAACACGTTCCACCAACCTTACAATAGTGGACTGATGACAATTGAAGTGTCTGGCAATAGCACGTATAGACATGCCAGCCCTGGACATTCCCATGGCTTCATTCCGTTGATTTTCAGTAAGTCTCGGCATCTCTAGCTCGATTCCTTCATACGTCCAACAACAAATTACGACAGATTGACGTTTCACAGTTCATGTACTGCACATTAAGTTGAAGACATGCTTTTAAAGGGCTCACACACAATGCTGCACATGAATATTGGGTTTTTCATGTGCATCTCGTGCAATTTTTTTTTTTGCACAGGGTCCAATATTTTTTGCGTTTGGGAGCATTGTGTGAAACAATAGTTCATAGTATTGCATAATATTATAATAATTAAACCACCTAGTAATAAAATATTTGGGAAAAAAAGTGATGCGTTTTCCATCGCGCTCAGTATATATTACGACTTTTATATATTACAGAAAATTAATGATCTTATAACTTTTATATATCACAGTATACTAATAATGATGTTATAACTTTTATATATTACAGAAAATTAATGATCTTATAACTTTTATATATCACAGTATACTAATAATGATGTTATAACTTTGATATATTACAGAAAATTAATGATATTATAACTTTGATATATTACAGCAAACTATAATGATGTTATAACTTTATATATTACAGGAAACTAATGATGTTATGACTTTATATATTACAGAAAATTAATGATGTTATAACTTTTATATTTTACAGGAAACTAATGATGCTATAACTTTTAATTATTACAGGAAACTAATGATGCTATAACATTTATTCATTACAGGAAACTAATGATGTTATAACTTTCATATATTACAGGAAACTAATGATGTTCAAACCCTTCATCAGTGTGCTATATGCAATGAGATTTTCCAACAATATGATGAATTAGAAAAACACAATAAAATACATGTTAAAGAAGAGGAAACCGATGATACTGACTTTGATAGAGATTTCCAAGTTCATTTTAATTTTAAAGTAGAAAAAAATGAAGACTATCATCAAGGTAATTTGAGTCAAGAAGAAATAAGTTCTGACACTATTTTAGAGAAACATGTCAAGGAAGAAAAAATAAATCACGATGGTAATCAAGGGACAATGATTAAACTTGATCAGGGTGTAAAACCGTACAAGTGTGAAGATTGTGATAAATCATTCACTCTGAAGTGTAATCTGTTAACACATATACGCGGCCACACCGGAGATAAACCCTATAAATGTGACATTTGTGGTAAATTATTTCAGTTGAAGGGCAACCTTCAAACACACATGAAAATTCATACAGGTGAAAAAAGCTTTAAGTGTGATGTGTGTAGTAAGTTATTTACTGTAAAGCAAGGTTTAGAGACACATATGAGGACACACACTGGAGAGAAACCCTTTGATTGTGATATCTGTGGTAAATGTTTCTGTCATAGAGGTCAGCTACAATCTCACATGAGGACTCATACTGGGGAGAAACCATATAAATGTGATGTTTGTAGTAAATCATTTAGTCAGATTGGTAATCTAAAGCAGCACATGATATCCCATACTGGGGAGAAACCTTTTAAATGTGATGTTTGTGGTAAATCATTTAATCAACGTACTTATCTGGAGACACACATAAGATTCCATACCGGGGAGAAACCCTTTGAATGTGGTATTTGTAATAAATCATTTACAGATGGCTCTGCATTAAGAAGACACATGAGGATCCATACTGGAGAAAAATCCCTTGAATGTGGATTTTGTGGTAAAACATTTAGTTCGAATACGTATCTACAGACACATATGAAAATTCATACAGGGGAGAAACCCTATAAATGTGATGTTTGTGGGAAATCTTTTACTGACAGTTCAGCGAGGAAGAGGCATATGGAAATTCATACTGGAGAAAAGGTTTATAATTGTGATGTTTGTAATAGATCCTTTCGTCACACTAAATCTCTATCTCAACACATATTGAAGCATGCCACACAACAAACTGCGGAAGATAAACCGTTTAAATGTGATGTTTGTGGTAAATCATTTAATTTAGAAAGTAATCTGAAGGCACACAGCAGAGTTCATACTGGTGAAAAAGCTTATAAATGTGATGTTTGTAGTGAATCATTCAATAGACACAGTGAATTAAAGACCCACATGATCAGCCATCCAGAAGATGTTGTTACAAAAGATGGAGAAGACAAATTTACTTGTGCATGCAAATGTGATAGTTGTGGTGAATCATTTACAAGAATAGCTGATTTATATAATCACATGAAAATACATTGTACTATTTGAAAGACTCCACACATGAATATACATTCTAGTACTGAAAGACTCTTCAATTACGTGTGGCTTAATGGTTGTATACTGAAATAATGGTACGCCAAAATGAAAGGATGGCATCACATCTGTATTTTAACAAGATATATTCTAGTGCTTGAGACACTCCTCACTTATTAGGATATAATCACATTGAAATACATGTACCCAATTACTTGAGCAACTCCTCATTTACTAAAACATGTGATTCATTAGAAATGGTTCCACTGCTGATGTCTTCCGTCTTGCTCCAGCGACGGTAGTGGACCGTTCCAAGGCCTTCCTTTGAGCATGTTTTGTAGTCAGTTTATTACAAAAAAGTTACTGGCCTCCCTTAATTTCCAATAACACTGAGCCCAAACTGTACTGTACATAGCTAAACATTATAATAAACCAATTCCCATTGAATTAAAGGTGAAAACCTTACCATATAATTATATGATTTGATCAAACCCAACTGCTATGCAAAATTTCTGTTCATTATAAAATGGCCGCCGAACCAGAATCATGTGGTGTCATGTCACTCGAAAATACAGAAAAACTGTTTGGTAAGATAAGATTATGATTTCAGTGTTCCACTCTTCACTATTTGTAACATAATTACTTATTTCCATGCAAACTGTGATGATATTTTGCAATTGAGCCTAATTTTACTTGTTCAAAGCCTCGAATAGTGTATCCATTGTAGCCGTAATTATCACGGCTACAAATTGCAGCTAGTGATTCATATACATGAATATTTGGTCAAATGGCATGGTGTCGATTTCCCGCTTGTATGTGACGAGGAGTAGGGTTGCTTCTCCAACCTCGTGGGTTTTCTCCAAGCCCTCCTGTTCTCTCCCACTGCTAAAGATCCATAACATGTATGGAATGCACGTAAAAGATCCCTTAGCAGTTGGAATTCGATATAAGAGTAGGCGATAGTGCCGCTGCCCGGGCAAAATTTTACTCATAGCACACTGTATGGCGTATGCCCGTCTTCATTAGCCCAGTATAGGAACAGAACAGTAGGACGTTAAACCCCATTGCATTTCATTTCTACAAAGTATTCAAGAGTACTTTAAAAAAAAAATTACTAACAAATTCTACAAAAAAATGGCATCACGTTGCTGAGCATGATGTGAATATGGAGGGAACTATTTAATATATTCATTCATGTAACCTTTAACCTGTGATTGTGATAACAAAATCATTAATATAGAAATCATTTCAACATTCCTTCCCACATGAACAATTATAATAAAAAAAATAAATTGTTCATAACAATTCACAAGAAATGCCATTATTTGTTAATTTCGATTTATCAAACAGTTTCTTTAAATTATTTTAAGTTTTCTTAAATTTCACAATCACTGGCTTCTAACAAACACATATTGTTGATTGGTCGTTTATAAGTTGGTGTTCCAAATAACTATTTACATCCACTTTGCATTAATTAATCACTGTCACTGATCTTCTTATTATTTAATTGTCGGATAGCTTCGCAAATTTCTCTCTCAGCACGTTTAAAGTTTGTACCATTATCAGTTCTTATTTCCGGAACATGTCCTCTTCTGTTCAAAAACCTCATTCGAACCAATATAAAATCATTGACATCGCCAAATCTAGATATACTGCACAGGAATTTAAACATACAAATATTACTCCCCATATTTTCTCAACTCTTCTCTTAACCAAGAACGGACCAAAATAGTCTATGCCTGTGTAGGTAAAAGCCGGTTCATAGGGTATATGACGACTTTGTGGTAATTCAGCCATTTGGTGGTTTAATAAAGGACCACCTTATGCATGATCCAAGTATTGTCTTAATTACAATTCTATCCTTTACGATCCAATATTTTTCTGTTAAATGTCCGATATTTTAATACACATTTCTAATAAGAAGGTCTGTTAAATGTGACTTTCTTGGCAGTATGATTGGATGCATGGCATCTTCATTAATTGGGGCCTTTGAAATTCTTCCACCTGGTCGAAATAATTCACCTATCATAACTGGTTTTAAGGTGTGTATTTCTTCCCCAACCATGTATTTCTTCTTTGTTCAAGGGATATAACTCTTCTCTTAGCTCTTTCGCTTTCTTCCAAAGTAACAGATTTTTCCATCTTTTTCCTGTCCAGCCTTGGTAATTTCAACCAATCTACAAATTTCAAAATCCAAGCGACACTACGAACAAGAATGTTCCAGTTTGAAAATCTGTTTACTAAATTTTCTATCAACGATTCGACCGGTTCAAACAAATTAAAATTCATCTCGTTCTTCAATTCAAGTTGATCTGCTGGCATTCGCATTACCTCAACTTTTATCTTCGGCCACATATCCTTTGTCTCAAATAAGAATTCTGGACCCTGTAACCAGCGACCTCTATCTTCAAATTTATTTACCGGACGTGTGCATTGGTCTGCAGGATTCAACACACATGGACAATGTCACCAATGATCGGGTGTCAGTGATTCTGTTAGCAACATAAATCTTAAATCTCTCAGATTCCTTGTTTATATAGTTCAAGATGATCATGGAATCTGACCAAATTATTACCCTTGAAATGTTCAGTTCAAGTTCTCGCATTAAACATGTATACATTCTTACCAAAATCCCCCTTGTCAGCGATGCCGGACTGAGGGCCTAACAAGGACAGCTGTCTAGTCGTTTGGATGGGAGATAAAAACCGAGGTCCCGTGTACACATTGGCATGCATGTAAAAGATCCCTTGACAGTTGGAATTCGATATAAGAGTAGGCCGTAGTGCCGCTGTCCGGGCAAAAGTTCCCTCATAGCACACTGTATGGTGTATGCCTGTCATCATTAACCCAATTTGGAGCAGAACAGTAGAACGTTAAACTCCATTTCATTTCATTTCATTTGAAATGTTCAATTCAAGTTCTTGCATTAAACATTCTTACCGATAATAAGAAACTCTGTAATTTTAACCAAGGTATACTAATTGTCTTTAAAGGAGGATTTCTACACTTCCCTATAATGTATGAGCGATCAATGTCACTGTTTGGATATACTACTCTAAGATATGACACTGATCCAAATCCTTTTTCCAAAGCTTCACAAAAATTGTGAATTCCTGATATACTATCTTCAGGATTAAATTATGTAAAATAACACCTAGGAATACGGATATTTTGCAGAGTTTCTATGTTCCTCTTCCAATTCAACCATGAGAGGCTCGTCTCACTTATATTTTTGTCGCTATAATTCTTGCGTGATTAATTTACCTCGAATCGTGATTGGTGCAGCGAGATAAAGCGTATTCAATTTTTCGTATTGAAGATTATCCAAATTAAATCATAATTCATCTGATTCGACGTTACCATCTTATTCCCAGGATTAGACAGGTTCAAGTTTAATGACTGTAAGAGTCGCTTCTCATTTAGTATGGCATCTAACACCCTTCTGTTATTACTTAGAAATTGGGTAAGTTTAAAACCTTAATTAATTAATTAATTCCAGGCCTAAGTTTATGGTCGACTCTGTGGAAGGTAACGATTTCAAAAGATCATCTACAATATATAAATTTCTCTCAATTGCTTTAATAGATTCTTCACTAAAATTTTCCCTATTGTTATCAGCAGTTTTCTGTTAAGCAATAATTGGCAATACAAGGTGAGTCAGACGCTCCGAATGTATGTACGGTCATAAACGTATTCTTCTGGCGGTTCCTCTTTAGGTCCACTCCACCATAAAAATCTTTAAGAGAGTTTTGTTTTTCTTCATCAACTTTCATCTGATGGAACATCCCTTCAATGTCGGCAGATAACGCTATTTTATCTAGCCTGAATCTGATCATAACACCCATTAAGTTATTTGTTTGTTCAGGGCCCGAAAAAAATTGGCCATGTTCTTCTAGCGGTAGCATCAAACACTATTCTTACTTTTCCGTTTGTTACGATTAATTACCCCAAAATGAGGTAAATATCAGGTTTTAGAGGGTTTGTTTCCACTTCCTTCGGTTTCAGCTTTCGTTTTGTTTTTTATAGTTCAAAATTTTGTTTTAATTGTCAGTTCTGGATGGCGTGAGGGATTAGCCAATAAAACCATCTGTTACGGTGCCGTCTTGCCGTACACAGAACTGTGGGTAAACCACTGGAAACGTCAGCGCTGACTGATTAATCAATGTCTGGTATCATAGGGTCAAAAGCTGCCCGTACGACCCCTAACTTGACCTTCCAGTACAACTAGTCAGATTTTCATGTAGTGTAGGCCATCGAAAGTATAGAAAAACGAAATGAAATATAGATCTGTATTTTAATCAGGGGGATCACGTGGCTAAGTGGGTAAGACGCTGGCTCGCTAGCCTGGAGGTCGGGTTTTCGATCCCTGCATTGGCCGAGAAAGTGCATCCAGATTTTCCGGCGTGGTTCCCCCTTGTCAGTGATGCAGGATGGAGGGCCTGACAAGGACAGCTGTCTAGTCCTTCTGATGAGACGAAAAACCGAGGTCCCGTGTATACATTGGAATGCGCGTAAAAGATCCCTTGGCAGTTGGAATTCGATATAAGAGTAGGTGATAGTGCCGCTGCCTGGGCAAAATTTCCCTCATAGCACACTGTATGGCGTATGCCCGTCTTCATTAGCCCAGCATAGGGGCAGAACAGTAGGACGTTAAACCCCATTTCATTTCATTTCATTTCTATTTTAATCAGATTTCTTTCTTGCAAATTGATTGTAGATATATTCCCCCATGGTCTTACAATAAAAATCTTTGTATTCTGTATCTGCCTTAAATTTTCTCTTTAAAGTGGCCATTGTTTGTTAATTTTGTGTGATTTTCAAGTAGGGTTACAGCTCTTCTATCCTCAACTGACATGCCTATGTCCTCATTTCCCTCTTCCAACTGAGAATCAAACGAATTCAATTTCTGCGTTGTTCTGCCTTACTGAATAACAAAAATCGCCCCAATTAGCCTATTAATCAGGTATGAGGGCAGTCTAGAGATAATCATTTTTAAATTTGATAAAATATTCACTTCCACTTCATATTCTCCAGATAAGCCTGGAAATAAGGCACCTGTCACAGACAATGTCATTCACAGATTCAAGCTTTGTCAGGCACAAAATCTGTGGTGCCTGTTATTTTGTCCGGCACTGATTTGTCTTTTTGATTGATATTATTAATACATGTCCAGCACTAAGTTGAACATGTCAGATACTATTTCATCAGTGCCTGACATTTTGTCAGGTACATCTAAAACCGTTATTTCCAGGCCTGCAGATAATTTTAAGGTAGCAGCTTCTAGTTGTTAAGCAAATCATAATTTCCCAACTTCTGTTGCTGGATGACCGTATCTTCCTTCCAAGGCAGAAATGACTGAATAGTAGGAGCAGCCAGATATTCTATGTAATTTGTCACGGGCTTCTACAGCTACAAATTTCGACAAAAATTCTATTTTTTGAGCATCATCTAACAAACCATCCTCAAGATGATTGCATTTTCTTCCTCGAAACACGGGGTAATCAGCATATTTACCATAAAACTTAATAGGATCAATAGGCTGTAACAATTTCAACATAACACTTGTATTGGTGATCGATTTTGTTCTTCTTTGTATTTTCTACAAAAAAATTTCTACTATGAAATCTGGTAATTGGTAAACTGTGATTCAAACTAATGGTGCTATTTTCAACTCAATTGCTATTGATTAATTCTACAAAGTATTCAAGAGTACTTAAAAAAAGTACTAAGGAATTCTTAAAAAAAAAAAAATGGAGTCACGTTGCTTAGTATGATGGGAAAATGGAGGGAACTATTTAATATATTCATGTGACCTTTAACCTGTGATAAAAAAAACATTAATAAAGAAATCATTTCAACAGCATCTAACATTTCGTAAGTGTAAAAACGTACTTCCCCAGAGAACTATTATAAGGTCTGTCATTGAGTCAACTGGCGTGGTTTCGAATCCCTGGTTGTACATGACCAGGAGTAGGGTCGCCTGTCCAACCTCTTGGGTTTTCTCCGTTTTCCTCTCACTGCTAAAGACCCCTACGGGCAAACGAATTATTGAAATAAAATTAATACATGTGTTAGTCCCGAAATGACCTAGTTTGTGTTGAATGAACTTAAACCTCTCTCTCTCTCTCTCCTCAGAGAACACCTCTCTCTCTCTCTCTCTCCTCA